TTTCCCTGTGAGGACACACTGAAGCAGCAAAGCGCATTCCTTATCGGACCATTCTTTCACTTTACAGACACGCTCGAATAATGAGAAGAACGTGTCAGGATCCTTCTCATTGAACGGAGGCAACCAGCGCAGATTACTGACGTCAAATGATTGTAATTCAGGTTTCAATACTTTTTCCTGATTACCGCTGTCAGTTTTCAAAGACAGGCGGCATCCTTCCACCTCTAATTTCTCTCTTTTCATCTGCTGCCGGATTTTCTCAATTTCAATGTTTTGTCGAATTTCCGACTCATGTTTCATCCGATCGTGCTCCAACTGTAACAATAACAGTTCTTTCTGCTGTTCAAACGTCAGTCCGTGCGTCTGAACAGAGAACTTGAACAGCTGTGCAGCTGCTTCTTTAACCTGCTCATCCTGACAGATGAAGCCTCGTTCAACCAGTCTGGATCTCAGCACAGCTTCAATGTCATTTCTACGGCTTTTTTCTGAAACATCCACGTCATAGTGCTCTACCAGTCTGAGAAGCTGTTCTTTTTTTAGTGTCTTTAAAGCGTCCTCAGATGGAGCTACAATAAACGCCTCCACATCGGCCATCCTCGCGAATTAATCAAAACACACAATCAAGGGACAGATGAGCAAAACAAACAATCACACCTGATCTGGACCAGTCAAAAAACAGCGAGGGCAAGACTAACCTGCAGCAGGTTCGGCGCTTTCCCACTAATTAAGTATTAGGGCCCCGCTAGCTAAGCTCCCTCCTAGTCTTCATGCAGCTACTGGTGGTGGGTTCTTATGCACTGTAGCCCGATGGGTGGAAGAGCGACTGGCACGCCTGTTTTTTGTTTTTTATTTTTTATTTTATTTTTTATTTTTTCACCTGCTTGCTGTATTTCTATATTGTAAACCTTTGTATTTATTGCTTTGCTTTTATCCTGTGAAGCGTCTTTGAGTTCTTGAAAAGCGCTATACAAATAAAATGAATTATTATTATTATTATTAACCCTCCCAAAGCCACGGATGTGCTCCTGAGCAAAGCTCCAGCCACGTTGGCCACAACACTACCCCAAACACCGACGAACCCAAAGGGGAACGCCGCTACGGCCTGACAGAGAAACACTCCTCACCGCTGCTGGTCCTCCGGATGCCGGCACAGATCACCCACATCCGGAAACAAACAAGGCTCTCCTTCTCTGCCTCAAGTTAAAACCAACAAAGAAACGAAGTATGAACGACACTTTTAACAAATACCAGCCTACTTACATCAACTCAACCACTGTGTCTTCTCCCCACTCAGTTTCACATGAAATGAACACCGGCATGTACCACTGAGTAAACCCTTCAAACAAAGAGCATGCAGGGCGCCAAACAAATTTACCTCATGTTCACAATCCAATCTGAGTGCCACAATCAAAATCGGACGAGCCCCCACTTTGTCACAACCCAGCAAATAGGTTGTGGCAAAAGAGGGGAGACGACACAGGTATTGTCAGATTTTAACGTAAAGTTTTATTAATTGGTTAAATTAATTTAGTCAAAGTGAGGTGTGTAAGTCAGTGATGTCAGTAGTGTGGGTGCAGATGTCTGGATGTCTGGATGTGATGTGGTGCAAGGTGTTGTCTGATGTGAGAACCAAACCAATAATGAACCAAACCACAAATCACGGGCATGAGGAGAGAGAGAGAGAGAGAGAGAGAGAGAGAGAGCAGGAGCTGAGGGGTTGGCCCTTTTATACCTGGGAGCGCTGGGCCCGAGCGTGCCAATCAGGTAGGACCGCCCACTCAGTCTCCAGCAGTCTAGGGACCTGAGGAAACAGAGCCAAACACAGACAGTCAATGTGCCCAACCAACAGACTAGGTGGGTCGTCACACCTTGAACACCCCACGCTCAAAAAAAGAAAACAAAACAGCTTTCCTGATCTCCTCCTTACGACTCTTCAATAATAACAACACCATAATGGTCAGCTATCTCCATCAACTGATTCCTATTGCAGGTATTGACAAAGGCCACCATGGGCGTCTCAAAAAATCCAGACATGAAACCATAATTACAAAGACCAATACAGGAAAATAAAATGTTAACTGTCAGCCCCACACTTGGGCAAATGTCAGTCCTTGACAGTGAACTTGCCCTTAACTGCCTGTCCAAAAGCTAGCTAAAGCTCAACCCTAGGCTTTGTTTGATACTTGTCGTGGGTATTTATGCACAGCATTGACTGCAATAATCACCATTATATGCATTCAATGACTACAGCCCGACAGCCTAGTACAGCAACCGTAAAGTGGCGACCCTCCAACAGCAACGGATGTGCCCCCAAGGCAACAGCTCTGGCCACTTTCCCACCACGGAAACAGAAAAAAACAAACAGACACAATCCCTGGGGGGAAGTGTCCTACCACCTGGTGGAGAAATCTCTGTCACAGTGCCACAAACTGTAGCAAAATAATTTTCTGAATGGTACATACAAAGGCTTCCACAAAACTTATGGTGTATCTTCCACAAAAAGAAAAACCTAAGCTCAGCTCTACAGAAAGACACAGGCCTGGCTACAAAGCACAACTAAATCCAACACTTAGCTTGAGCAATCAACTGAACTTAGAAACTTACCCAAGGCCTACTGCCTAAGGCATGAAAACAACAATACTAACCAATTAAATGGACAACCCCCCGTTTGTCATGACCTGGCTAAGGAGGTCACGACAAAAAAGGAAGAACACCATGATAAACGTTTAAATAATTCTTTATTAAATCAAATATGACCAAATTAGACCAAATTAAATGGCCAAATCAAACATTTAAAGTATAGGATGTGACAGTCAGTAAGTCAATTGTGTATCATGTGCATGAGTGGAAGAGGTGTATGTGTGTGATGGTGCTGGACGGTGAAAACACAAAAGGCAAAATCAGAACTGCATGAATGAACAAACTGAACCAAACCAAACCTTGGTGTGCCTGTGGAGAAAGCCAGAGTAGAGAGAGAGAGAGTTAGAGCAACTGCAGGACTTATGTAACTTGATCACACTGGGCCCAGGTGTGCTGAGCTACTCCAGTCAAGCCATTGCAAATGAGAGACGGGTTAGGGACACACCCCCAAGATAACAACAACGGCAAAGCCACTCCCTGGTGATCCCACAGGGGCATCACAACTACCACTGGGAGAGGCCGCCATTTGGGCTGTTAAAGCAGTAACCTTACCTGTGAGTGTGATACTTGATTATTTAAAACATTATTACTGCCCACGAGTGCTTTAATTAAACTCTCGTGTTGACTGAACATTGCTCCATGACTGGCCATGGCTTGCTGCAAAGCTGGTCCAGAGAACGCCTGGTCTGTGCTGGTTGTATTGTCTGCTGAGCTCATACAGGCCAGACCATAATGTTACGGATCAGGTTCAGAGGCTCACGCACAGACACAAAACTCGGCAGACCAGCATTACACAAATAATAGTGTTTTATGAAGACACTCACAATGGTGGAAACAGAATAACAGGAAGTAGAAAAATATTAAACTAGAGCTCGTCCTCTTAAGGAGGGGAGGACTAAGTACGAGAAATGAAACTGAAACTAAATAGAGAAAGCTCGGGCAGAATACAAAGACAAAGACTACAAATAATTGACCAGTATGTTAAATGAGCTCAGCAAGAGACCAGGGCTTACAGACAGAGGGATTATGGTGGAGAGACAGAAGCTAGACAAAAACCCACATATTGGTCATTCCATGACAAATCAACAGGACATCCACCCTGACCTCCTCACAATCAGACTTTATGTACAATAACTTTAGTATGTTTAATGGGGCAAACTTTTATCTTCATACTGTGGATCATTTCAGAGTTTCAGGCCCTTGAAGTCCATGAATGTTACAGAAATTCTCAACAAACACTCTGAAGACTCTCTCTCTGTCTCTGTCTACGGATGTTTTCTTTATTACTTGCAGCAAGGAAGCACACACCAATACAATGAATGCTTAACGTATGTGAGAAGGCACTCAGGCATAGTCTGAGTTCATGTAGGGACACAACTGTCAGTCACACGAGTTCTCGGACCATGTTTCACAACAGGATATTTGTGGTGAGACGTCTGCTATGTGCATGTATGCTTAGAGAGACGTTGGCACGTGGTAAGATGCATAACTAGTCCTGACACCTAAACTTAACTCTACTTTCAGAGTTTTTCCACTCAGGAACAAGCTGCACTGCTCCAGACCCACTCATCTACATCTCCAATGAAGAAATCCTGGTCCAACCCTGTCCAGCTTTCCTTCCCCACAGTGACAGATGTGCTTCATGCAGCTGTCTTGGGGTCTCAGGAGCTGTAACAAGTCTCTGTTCAATCTGCTGCCTCATCCACCCGGCTGGCTCTTCTGTAATGGCTTCCTTGGATGATATGCTGCCCTGCAAGAACTAAATAAAGCTTGATTTCAATTTCATGTAGGAACATATGTCTGGAACAGCACCGGCAGACATTTTCTGTGTTTACTCATCAACACCATGAAGAGAAACAAATCAACTTTAAACACAACAGCTCAGAGTCGACCAGCCAAACCCCAGAAAAGTCCTTCAGATGGTTTTTTTTCTCACAGAATTGTATGTGAATAGCAGGCGTCCATGCAGGATTTTTCAGTTTATGAATGTGAAAATGATAAATATGAAGTTTATATCAAGGATGAGAAACATGTTCATAAAATTAAATGGTTTTACTCATTACAAGGGAAGTATTATGATTGGAAAGTATAAAAATGTACAACTAAACAAGAATGTGGATAATTACAGAGACCAGAATCACATCACATTCACAGCTGATCAGTGCTTCATCTCATCCTATATACTTTAACTGGTCAGTAAAAGATGTATGTCTAGATGGTGTAAAAATGAAAACACCACCATGTTTGCAGCAAAAAAACACAAAACCAAAACACTTTTAAATAGTATTAAAGTGTAATAAATTGTGAGCATGAATATTACATGACCTGTGTGAAACAAAAGACAAGCCTCAGACCTTAAGTCACCAAACATGATTCAGCTTTATTAAAGGAGAAAAATTTTGGTTGTGCTTAATTTTAAAAATAAGCTTGAAGATCAAGATTCAGGGTGGCATCCACCCACACCCTGTTATTCACTCTATGATTATGTCGTCTGCTATTAAGCATTGACACCAAAAGTAAAAAAAAAAAAAAACAACAATTACAATAATAGAATCTTTAACGCTTTTACTCTCAAAATTGTTATGTGTATAGACTATGTGCGGCATGAATGATTTAATATTTTTCATAACACACATCTTATTGATTGACAAGTGATCATGATGTTTGTGTCTGAACCCACTGTGACTTTACTAAAGAATTACATCAGACTAAAGCCACATCATGGAGTTAAAGGAAGGATCATGGATCCTGTTTGTCTTCGTCCAATGAGACAGCAACCAGTGTGGCTTGAAACTGGCGTATTTTTTCCACCAGCTCAGCCATGAAGGCTGGGTTGTCAGTCAGTGGCTTTGGGTCATTTCCGTCTTCACTCTGCTGCAGAATCTTCTGGGCCTCTTCAAACATTTCGTCGCTGTAGTACGATCCTCCGTTTGCTGCCACCATGTCATCAATCTTCTGGATCAGCTCCACCACTTGAGTTCTGTTCTTGTTCATGTTGTTGAAGACGTGATACCTGTTGCTGCACCTGTTCAGCAGCTCTGTGAGTTTCTTATGGCTGGTTTGCAGATATTCATGTATGGTTGTGCCCTGCTGACTCAGCTTGTCACCATGAGTGAACAAGACGATCATGTAGTTCGATGACTTCGGTCCGAACAGCTTCTTCAGGGCCTGAACACAGTTTTCTTCTTCTTTGGTGAACCTGCCGATCTGAAGGACCAGCAGGAAAACGTGAGGGCCTGGAGAGCACATCTGGATGCATTTTATGATCTCTTTCTTTATGTGTTCTGCACTTTTAGACGTATCCAGAATTCCAGGAGTGTCGACCACATGGATCTTTCTGGAACATTCAACTCTTTCTATCTCACAGGTCTCCGTCACCGACTCTGCACTCACAGCAGACTTAAAAACTTCTTGATTTTTGCCCAAGATGGTGTTACCAACGGCACTCTTCCCAACACCAGTTTTCCCAATCATCACAATCTTCAGAGGACGACCTGCAGAAAGACACAAACTCTGTTTAGACCTGATGAAGTTCTTGGATGGAAATAAAATCAATCACAAAGTCAGGTGTGATAGTTACTGAATGCTGACTGCAGTATAAAGAGAACAGAGAGAGTCTACATAAAAGATCCTGCCTCACCATTGGGGATTGAGGATGTGTTACCCATCTCTGCTCTTGATTTCTGGAGAATGAGCAGAAGCACAGCTGTCCACTGTTGTGGCATGAAGCAGTTTTCAGCGCTCCACCCACAGGGTGGATCCAATCTCTCAGAGTATTTCAGTCAGAGTCCGTCTGATCAAAGCTGATTCAGAGACTCTTGTGACACCTGCACACTGTTTGTTGGTCTTTAGGCAGCTGACGAGATGAGTTCTACCAAACCTTCACGTGAGTGACTCTGATTTACTGAGTTTTTTTTCCTCCTTACCAAGGCCTGCTACATCTATGATCTACTACAGCACTAAACATTCTGTAAAGATGACAGACTGTGTTTAGTATTGAAAAATCACAAATTAAAATTCTTCTTGAAATCTTGTGTTGGGACTTTCTTAGCCTTGGGTTCAGGACTCCAGGAGAAGTTAGTCAGAAACAGATTAGTCACAACATTAGTTTTGATATTCAACCATAATATTAACATTTAGGAGGAAACTGTTTTTTTGTGCAACTTCTTTTTTGAGTGTTCAGGCGTTTATTTATTTAGAAATTCAGAGGTAAAATAAGATAAAATATTTAAGAGTTATATGATTGCTTTCAAAGCTGATGCCAAGTAGAGAAACTGTTGGTAACTGTTGATGAAATAACTGGAAATTTGCTTTGCTTTAGTTGCTTTATTTTATTTTATTTGATTTGATTTATTTATGTATATATATACAAAATGTATATATATGTTTTGAACATTTTTATTTTTTTTTGATTGAAACTTGATGCTGGTACAAAATACATTTAACTGCACATTATACCGTGTATAAATATGTATGTGACAAATAAAGCTCATTTTATCTTAATTTGTACCAACTGCTTCTTTCAGGTGAGAGCAACAGTTTAATGTCAGGAGATACCTTCAACATTGTTCTGCTGGGACTAACTGGGACTGGAAAGAGTGCATCTGGAAACACCATCCTGACTGCTATGGACCCCCATCTGAAACCAAAGCAGCTTTTTGAATCCCGGCCGAGCTCCATACCAGTCACTACCAAGTGTCAGTTCCAAATGATACGTAGTCTTTATGGCAGGCGGGTCAGAGTGGTCGACACCCCAGATATCTTGAATGATGAAATAAACGATCAGGTACAAGTAGAGGAGTGTAAGAAGTACTGTCAGCCAGGGCACTATGTGGTGTTACTGGTGATACAGATGGGCCGGTTTACAGAAGGTGAGAAGGGAATATTAGAGAGGCTGGAGATGAAGCTTGGCTGCCGAATCAGGAAGAACACAATCGTCCTGCTGACACATGGAGAGAAAGCAAAAGACAATGTTCAGAGTTTCATTGATGAACGCTCTCACCTCAGGTCCATTATAGGTGAATGTGGAAATCGCTGCCATGTATTCAAAAACAACTCCAAGAACCCTAAACAAGTCAAGAAGCTCTTCAAGAAAATTCCAGATTATGAAACAATCTTCCCAGAGTTCACAGAAAAGCGATCATGCACAGGCTGCGGTTTCGTTTAGCTTGATTCAGACTGAACGTCCAAATAACAAACTGCTTCCAGCCTCCGTGTACCAGTCTGTGCAATGTTTGAAGTACAAGTGTGATCTGTTGATGCTGTGAACCTGCAGTTAAGGTGTCGTATGTGTCAAGATCTGGTTCTATGTACATACTTATATATTTTATGTGGTTATACATAAAATGTCCTGATGTTAATTCATTTAAGCTGTTTGAAAATAGTAAGGATGTATAAGTCAGATAAAAAGAAGGACATTAATTTCATCACTGTGTGTTCTGTATAGAGAAAAGTCCAAAACACAGCTGGGCAGCAGTCCTGCTGTGTTATGTAAAATGGTTTTGTTAATCTACTGTACAAATTTAGGAAAATGATAAATATACTGTTTAATTTCTGCTTTTTCTGTGATTGATGTTCATACAAAACTAGATTAATCAATGAGCTTATTAAGGGAATGCAGTGAATAATAAAACTAAACTTAATGCATCACTCTGTGAAGTATTGATCAACTGTGATAATTCATCATTCCATTACTTTTCATTACTTCAATAAATAAAAAACACTATTTCACTTTTTACATATAATTTCTAAATAAATATTGTAAAGCACTGGTTTTAAATATATCTTTGACGTTTAATTTTTAAGTTAAAACAAAATAAATACATTTTGTGAGGTTCTAACCTTTAGAGTTTAAAGACAAACTGTGAGACTTGCGTACTTTACATCTTAATAACCCTCATTTAATCATCAGGGTATTTATATGTTTTTCATAGATTTCCTTTTTGTCATTTTGGCTGTGTTAATGCATATGGAATAAAATGTGGCAAAGGTCTGTCCCTGTTCCCATCTAAAATACACTGTGTACAGAAAAACAATGTCTGTATTGAAACTAATTAAAACTGCTATGTTTGATCATCATATTATTCTTATGAAGCATTCCCCATTGTTTAAGTCAGGGGTTCTCAACTGGTCTCACGGAGATCTATTCGGAGATCAAAACTGATATCCCGATTCCAGCACAGCAAATGAATAGGTGGTGTTGGAGAAACTGTCTTTTCTCCGCGTGTTCGTTTTTAAAGATGAGACAAGATTCAGTTCGGTCTCAATTAATCACTTTTATCACACCCTGAATATTGCATTACATAGCTCTGGGTTAAACTCCCCCTAGCATCAACTTACCCACCCAGCTTGTATCTTTTATACATCCATATTACCCCTATAATTATCACAGTTGCTTTTTCCTCTTTGTGTGTTGCTTGTCTATCGAAACCAGCAATTCGTGTTCACTCCTTCGGGTTCACTCCTTCGTCCTCCCAGGAACCATCTGTTCTGCACCTTTTCCTTTATTTATAACAACTCAGTTCTCTTCCTTTTTGCAGCAATCCTCCCCACGATCGACGATGATGATGTCCTCATCTGACTCCGTACCATCCATTTCTCCTTATAAAAAAAGGATTTAAACATCTTCTTTCATAATCCTTTGTTGCGAACTTTATATCTTGCAAGCTTCAATGATTACATTTCTTAATGGCCTAGCGAATACTCATATGTTGATTCATCTAAGGCAGTTACTTCTTTTACTGGTTTACTGAATATATTACTTTAATAGCCTGAGAAATACATTGATTATAGAAAAATAATATTCATTGCTTTATTAAGAATGTAGTAATTCTCAAGAGATAAAACAATATTCAACAGTGGCTATTCGGGTCCAGCTCTAGTATGAAAATCAATATTTTCAATACTCTGGGTCCAACCAGAGACGCACATTATATATTATTTAATTTTGACCAGCTGTCCACGACCCACCCAGAACAGGTCCGTGACCCACTTTTGGGTCGCGTCCCACCAGTTGAGAACCCCTGGTTTAAGTAATAAATAGTTGTTTACATGGCCTAAAAATTAAGCCACTGACACATCAGAGTGTGATAATATATAGTATTGAGCATATAAAACACGATTTAAATCATTCAGTCACACAGTCGCATACTGACACACTAGGACCCCGTTTTGCAGGAAGACGTGCGTACTTGTTCACACTAGTTTTGGGAAACCCTCTATCTGGGGACCTCCTTCATAGACAGCAGCGGCCCTCAACATACGAGGACGAAGTCAGAAAACACTCACACACACCCCGTTTTAAGCATTTAACCAGGAGAGATGAGAGGAAATAAGCAATATTGAGTCTTGATTTAAGTTTTTTCAGTTTTGCAGAGAATTTTTCAACCAAAACAAATATAGGATATGCATAACAAAGGAAAGTAACAGACTTTTCCTGGAAGCTGTATAGCTGATGATTGCATAGTTAAATCATGTAGCCAATTGTAAAGCACACAGTAATATTAACAACAAGGTGTAAAATAAAATAAACTATATAAACAATTACGCTGTCTGGATAAACATCTGAGGAAACAACACTGTCACGGTACGCGGGGAACCCATGCAGAAAAGCGCACAGACACAGCAGAGACAGGATACGGCTTTACAAAGATCTATTTATTCAGAATAACTGAGGTGGAGGACCAGGGACAAAATGACCTGAAAACTCACTAGCGGCTGGGTGGGGGGTGGACAGGCTCCTGGGGACCGGCAGTCTGAAAGCGCACACCGATGGAGAGGGTGGGCGGCGGAGAGCGGCAGTGGTGGTCCGAAGAGTGGGCCAGGGGGGAGCTGATGCCCTTCAGGACGGGGTTCTGGGGAATCCAAGGCTGGACAGGAGCCAGGACCATGGCGAGCAGGACCAAAGCAGAACCGGGGCAGTGCGGCCAGCAGGAATGCAGGACAGGAGAACACACAAGTTAGTTAAGGTTTAAACAGGAGAGCAGTAATGTGCTGAGGCCTGATCACTCAACTACCAGAGTAGCTGAAGCTGACGCTAGATCTGGCAGGGAGTGGAGTGGAACCAGCTTTTATGGCTGAAGAGGAAGTGACCAGAGTTCTGCACCACAGCTGACTGGAGTTACTGCTGATTAAGACAATAATCAGGATGAGCGGCTGCAGGGAGCAGCACAGGAGAGTGAATGAGAGCAGAGGGGAGAAGGGGGAGGCAGGGAGGTGAGGTGGGGCAGATGCAGGGACTGAGGAGGAACCTGACAGGCAGTCAGAGGTTAATTATGAAAATTAAAGACAGTGATGGATGATACATTCTAGCCTATGTCAGAGCCAAGGCCAAATAAAATAAAAAAGAATAATCAAACTGATTAAAATGAATGATAAATATCAAATAGATAAACTCAGTTACAAAACTAATTTACCAAATAAATAATAATGAATATTTAAGGGAAACAACAACAGTGTGTAATTAAGAGGGCTAGCCAATCCTCCTGACTGGTCAATTAATAAAGCTGACAATATATTTATTCTTGCACATGACCACTGATGTGATGTGTGTTGAGTCCTCATTTCTGAATTAAAGTGTTGTATTGTGAAAGTTCTGATAAATGACACAAACACACTAAAAGCAGTTCCATGCCATGGCCACAGGAAAGCATTAAGTGCACCATTTTAACATCTTTATTGTGTTTTTCTGCTTTGTAATAAAGCCTTTTACACCTGACGTTCTACCTGTGGTTCGTGTCTGCTTCAGGGTTCTCAAACCGGTCGCAACAACCATAACTTGTAATAAATAGTAAACAACTAACTAAAAAGCCATTTTCCTTTTTTTGACCAGGAATGGGAGAAAAAAGATATGAACAGTATCCTAGACGAAAACTAATTGAATTTTAAAGGCGTCTCTCATAGTCCTGTCTTTAGGTCTGTGGTCGAGGCAAACGTTGCAGACAGTGAGCTGTAGATGAACACCTGCTGTTGTATTAACACTGTATACTATATGAGCTTACAGCCTGATGTTTGCTGCCCCCAAGTGGACGAATCAGTTCTTGCAAGTATTAAATCTGCCGGGTCTACAAGGTGAACATAAAGCCCTTTAAATTCATTGTTTCCATTTTAAAATAATTACTTGATGTGATTGTTTTTTCCATTATACTGTTGAAACCTTCATATGATCATTGATGGATGAAAAACTTTGACCCTGTTGGTCCTGGAAGCTGGTGGACTTTGGTCCTCAAAGTAAACTTTCCATTGTCAATGAATCAAATTCTTTTACATGCAAAGTAAAAGCTGACAGGTAAGCTTAATGCTTTTTGGCTATAGGGGAGGGGAATAGCAAAAAAACAAAAACACTTGATGCAGACAAAAATACACAGAAATTCTCAATTAAGCCATGAATTAAAATGAGTGAGAAAACAGCAGCAGGTCAGAATATAGGATATAGTGATATTAATCAGATCAATAACAGCTCCGTGCATGGTGGAGGAAAGCAAGAAAAAGGAACAGCAAGAACATGTTGATTAAAAAACGTATTTCTAACATGTTACAAACGTAAACCAGGACAAATTAAGCTTCTATTAACTGAGATGCAGTTCAGTTGTGTGAGTGTCTTAAGTGATTTTATTTCACTTTCACCACTACAGAAATGGTGCAGCGAGGACTTCAGATGTGAAGAACAGTCTGGAACTTGGGACACTTTGGTAAAAGGACTCTATTGACTCAGTGTTGTGTCAGTTAGGACAGATGAGCTCATGCAGGACGTTTCCAGCTGAAGCTTCTTTATTTTAAGGCAGTTTGAGCTGGTCTGTGTGACGAGAGAATAAAATAATAAAGAGTATTAAAGTTGATGTAATTCCTGATTGAACTCAATCATCCATAATTATTGTAACTTCAAACACAGTCACCATAAACTCAGGAATCAGGAAGTAACTTAACAAAAACTTCACCATGATAAACTTTACATCACCTACAAGACAGAAAATATTCACATCTATAAAATAAAGTAGCTTCCTCAGACGGACCTTTCAAAGTTAAAGCATTCAAAGTAGTTCATTAATTTAATAATTGTCAGATTTTCCTGTATGTTTCATAGTGTATAGTGTGGATATATATGTATATATGAAGATATTTGTGACACTTTAGACTGATTTGTTGAATACCTTCCCAGAAAAATCCTCCCCATCGACCCACTTTCAGGAGGTCTATTCTCACACTGAAATTCGAGACAATATCTGAGGCCGCCGTTATAGCTCACCTAGTTGAACAAGTGATCCATACACAGGGGCCGTGTTTCCCCAACGCATTCATTATCTATACACTGCTTTATCCTCACTAAGGTCGCCTGGGGGGCTGGAGTCTATCCCAGCTGACTCAGGGTGAAGGCAGG